CAACCCGGTTGATTCTATGATCCCTTCAACCAGTTTGGTCACCTGTCTCAGCTATGTCCCCTCCCAGGTTCTTGTTCCCCCCACCCTCCTCACTGGCAAGGCAACAAGAGCAGCTGAAAAGTCTTTGACTTAGTGTAAGCACTGCTCAGCAACAACTAAACCATTGGTGTGGTATCAGCATTATTTTCATCTTAAATTTGAAATACAGTCCTGTACCACCTGTTAAGAAGAAAATTAACTCTATCATAGCTGAAACAGGATGACATGTCTTTATCAAATGTATGAGGCATGTAGGGATGCTTATGCTGATTATTACCATGTATTAAAAATGACAAATCTTGTGAGTCTTTCTAGGTGCTGCCTGGCCAGTTTCCCAGGGGGCTGATCTGCAGCACTGATGCTACCAAATCCAACATACTTCCTGCATTGCTGCAATTTTTGAGGGGCAAATGAATACCTTTAATTTTGTGTTAAAACAGAGTTAACCTAACTTCAGGCAAGGGAGGATAAAAACCTGAACTGCTGGAAGTCTGTCAGAGGTGTTTGATCTTTTGATGTGCACAGAAACCCCTATCCAGGGAATTCCTAGAACAACCTTTGCCAGGCAGTGATTTGTGAGTGATACTGAGTATTTCTCCTTGGTGGTGGCAGTTTTTGTGCAGTAGAAACTCACCACCAACACAAATGCATGCACACGCTGTGCAGAATATTCATAGCAAATTCTTAGTAATAGAATATTCACAACAGAATCCAAATTCATTACTATTCGGGCTTATCCAAAATCAAGTGGGATGAAAGTTAGCACAGTGTTCAGTTTGATTCAGTGCTAATGTCATGTTGATGCTGGGTCTGAATTAAGTTCCATATCTGCATGCAATATTACCATGCTCTTCTGTTTCTGGGAGTAGGCAAGTGCTTAAATATTCCATGACTGTTGATCCTTGGAAGCAGCCTATTGAGAGATCCTTGTCCTTTGACATACAAGAGAATTTGTATTCACATGCAAGTGGGTAATCTAGATGTAAAAATAGATGCTGTGCATGTGTGAAGTATGTCTGTGGTTTAGATTGTGAAAACAGAGGCACGCAGAATTTTTGGCGTTTCATTGATTTCTCTGGAGTATTGCCTGCTGCGTGACTGGAGTGAGGGAATTCAGGCTTTGCTGTGATTTTCATGGGTTGCAGAGAAAGAGGGAGACAGAAACCTAGCCAGACCCTGCAGCATCTCACCTGTTTGTCAGCACATGGCAGCGGCTCAGAGCACTTGGGCAGGCTGGGCTGCACTTTCCTGCACACACATGTAGCTGGAATGAGTATAACTGTCCACTGGGATGATTTTGTATTGCAGCCTGCAGAAGCAGCCCATGCAGGAGCTGAAGCAGCTGGATCAGAAGCAGCAGCTGGAGCTGAAGCATCTAAAACTGAAGCTGACTCAGGATCGGTAAACACCTCAAGGGACAGCAGTCCCTTTTCTCCATCACATCCCTTTGTCATACAGCAGATATAGGAGGCTTGGCTGAGAAGAGCTGTGTATCTGCTTGGAAAAAACATGTCCCTGACACTCCAGCAGTTATAGTACTCTTACGCAGATACCAGACTTAGCTGTTGTTTTTTATCCGTGTAATACTTAGATGCTTAGGGAGAGGTTCTGCCAGGAGATCCACAAAAAGCACTGCCCCTTCACCCATGTTGTGAAGCCAGCCCACAGCCTATGCTGTCCTAAGGTTGTGTTGTCTGCTGGATTCATCCTTGGTTGCCATTTACTTTACCTATCCTGTTCTCTGGGCTCTGCCTGTATCCCCTGAATATCCAGACTTTTCTTTTTATTGGTGGCACTGCCACCTTTTTAAGGTACTGGAGTAGGTCCCATCTCATGGCAGCTTGGTTCCTTCTAGCCTGTCATGTTTGAGCTGTCTGTTCCACAAGGGCTCTCTAAGAACTGTGTTGTGACCACAGCAAATGGGAAATGCTGGGCCTTATGGTCCCAGAAAAACTATAAATCAACTCTGCCATTCTGCAGCCTTAGGCAGAGGCAGACAGCAGTCACCAATCCTGCCTTTTCACTGCTGCCTCTGCTGTTCTTTGTCACTGACTGGTGTGCTGGGAAAACCCACTGAAGTGTAGTGTTGGGGTGTGGATCCTCCAGGGTAGACCTAAGCAGCAGTTTTGGATTCTCTTTTCTCAATGGCTCTTTTCTTTCCTTGGTGGCTGCTGCCTACCAGAGCTCTCTGCCTGCTGTTGTTGTGGAAACATTCCCTGCAACCATCAATGGCACTGTGGAAGGAGGGGCTTCGTCTGAAAGAGCTGACATGCCCCCAGGATTTCTGTTTAAGGTGAGTGTGTGGTGGTGGGGCACCGAGGTCCTGGTGAGTTTCTTTTCCTGTAATGAATTAGCTGCTTTCACACAGCATGGCCATGGGCAATGCCTCATTGAAAGGGAGAAAGGACATTGAAGGAGATACACTTTCCCCTCCAGCAACACAGCTTCATGCAGTTCCAGATGCTTCAAAGGACTGTGTAAGAGCATTGGCTTCTAAACATCTTGCTGTGCTGTGTGACAAAATCCCTACTTTCTGCTGCAGTTGTGGTGATGTCGTAGTGTCTGTCACGGACTTTGGATAGTAGAGAAAAAGTTGTGCTCCCAGCTGGAAAAGTTAAACTTTGATGCCAGTGGCAAATGGAAAATAATGTCCATAAAGGAATATGGTAGCAAGACAGCACAGATAAATCATGCCCTGAAAGTAAGAAATTACAGCTTCCTGTTATAGTAATGCTTTGCTCTGCTCTAGTCATGCCCATGCATAATTTTTTCCCCCTCAGAATTCTACTAAAAGGAGAAGAATGGCAAAACCCTGAAGAGCAATAGGAGGCTCATAGCATTTAGGTTGGTTACAGGCAGCATTACAGGCTGTAGTACATGGAGTAGAGAGTAGTGGTTTGAACTAGAAAATCCGTAACACAGATGTTGATAGGAATTAGGCTGAATACCGAAGAGAAAACATGGCAGCATTTCATGATCCAAGCTAATACTCATTCGAAGTTCCAGACTAATACTCCTCCCCATGTTTCCTCTTTCTGCTTGCTGTGACAGAGGTGGCAGGCTATAATGTCTAATACTCTTGCAGTCGAGCTGCAAAAAAAATACAGGGCACCATTCGAGTGAACACAGGCTTTCTACCCTATGAGGTTTTTAGACCCATACCATGGGAATTTAACACTCCTAAGGAATGACAGAGAGATGCTGATACATAACAAGTTGCATGAGTTTCACCAGGAAGCCCTTGTGGCTAAGGTGAGCTGCATGCCTGGCTGTATGAACAAGGATGTAGCCATTAGATTAACAGAAGTGGCTATTCCACTGGACGTGGCATTTGTGATCCAAGCTTGCCCTGCCTTGAGCAGTAGGTTGGATCAGATGGCCTCCAAACGTGCCTTAAACCTGAATCATCCAGTGAATCAATGAAGTGGAAAGCCTTGTTGCCTCACTCATGCTCTCCTCTCCTCTCCCCATAGGTCCAGGCCATGCATGATTACACAGCCACTGACAGTGATGAGCTGCAGCTGAAGGCCGGGGATGTGGTGCTTGTGATTCCATTTGAAAACCCTGAGGAGCAGGTGAGTGGACAAGACAGGGTGTGAGCTTGGGCCAGGTGGATCCAAGGAGGTTTCCAGAGCTGCTTGTTTCTTCACTAACAATCGGCTGGCTGGATGCAGAGCCATTAGTTTGTGGCTGGGAGCCTGCAAGAGAGCCGGTTGCCCTTGAGCTTGAGATTGGCTTCCTGCAATAGAGGGGAGGACTCTGCTTGTTACTGGAAGGTGGAGACATTATCCTGGATAAAGTGTGTGGAGCAGCCAAGGGTTCCTGTCCCTATCAGGATATTTGAGCCAATACAATGGCTCACTTAATCAGGACCCTAACAGAGCCCATACTTCACTTCCTCACTGCTCCTAAACATTCCCTGTGACCAATGCAATACAGACTGTGGCATTGGAAGGAGTGACCCACACGTTATGATGATGTTTTCTCCTCTTGTGAGAAATGTAGGAGCTCTGAGAAAGCAGCTGGCAGTGGATGATGTCTTGCACTTCAGCATAGCAATGGCTGCTTCCAAACGACCATGTTTGGTCAGGAGATGGCAGCAGAATCAAAGGCTGCAGCAGGTGTCTCAGCCCTAGAGAGCAATCTTGCTGCCTATCTTCATCCTGAATTTAATTGGCTATGTTTTTCTTTAATTTGAGCTATTTCTAGAAGCCTTGAGTAAGTCCTCCTCACTTGCTGTGTTTGAGGGCATCCAGCTGATAATCTGCAGCAGTTTTACTACTTGGACTGAGGAAGGTGGTGATTTTATAAAATTCATGGTCACATCTCCAGTCCTTTGTTTGAAAGAGAATTCTCCAAATCAGTTCATTAGTCAATAGGTTTTTGGGTTAGGCCAAATCCAGACAAGATCTTGATTCCACAAGGGGTAAAGGGAAGGTCAGGTAGTTCACTACCTCAGAAGATGTGGATCTTCTTTGTGGCTCAGCTGTTGCCTTTGTGAATTATGAAGGCAGTTCATGCTGATGCTTGTGAAATGGGAGCTGGCACTCCCACAGAGCTAAGGGGGAAGGGTTGTTGGGAAACAGGCAGTGATTCCTTCTGGAGACAAGATTCTTCACTGAGTTGGACTGCCCTGCACAAGTATTTGTGAGCATTTCTTTCTCAGAAAGCTCTCTGAATGGGAGAGCTCCCCTAGTTTCTGTGGTAGGAGATGGCATTTGTGGAGCAGAGTTTTTCAACGCCCTGTGTTTGCACTCTAGCTGGATGTGGGTGCAACAGCCATGAACTCGAGACTCTCCAAGCTGCAGAGGGTGAGCTCTGAGTGTTGCTAACATGATGCTGTAGCTGCACTGAAGCCCTCTAACCATTCTACAGCTGTGCTACAGCTCATTTCCCTAACCTTGACTGTACACAGCCAGAAAATGGTGGCTGTTAACATGTGCATGAACTATGCACGTGAGTGGAGGAAGCTTAGGATAGCAGAGTGTGATCCTTGTCCCCATCTTGCAGTTTAGGTGTCAGTTTGTGGGTGTGTCATCCAGGCCTGGATTCATTTCTTTTGTTAGAAGAAAGGGTTGAGGGCAGCAACACTTCTAAGCTGGCACTTCAAGTGACATGGTTTAGAATTGTATAGGGTCAATCTGGGTCCTCCTGTCTAATCCTTACAGCTGAGGAGACCCTTCATAACAGGATGTGGTGGGAGTGATGCATGCTGTATGGCATAGATGCTGTGTGCAAATGGATGAGCCTTTGTGCTTGATGTGCTATGAGCTGGAAGCTGCTTTCCAGACACTTGGGCCCAATGCCTTCTGCCAGTGGTTTGTCTTCTTGATTTATGGCATGTCAGTCCTTCCACAGCCCCTGCAGCTGGCTGCTGCAGATGGGCTCCCATCTCATGTCATTACTATGACAGCCCTTGCTGCTGCCTTAGATTTGAGCATTCAGGGGGTAAGTGAGCCTGCAGGCACCCAGAGCTGTGCAGCTCTCATGCCTCCTGCTGCAGCCTTAACCCATAGGCTGCCCCACTGCAATTGACTCACAAGTGGGTGTGTTTGATGCTGAAGAGTTGCTCTATGGTGGTAGCTCCAAGGTGTGCAGAGAATAGGCTGGTTGTACACCTGAGCTGCAAGCAGTGCAGCCTTCCCACCTTGAATATCTTGCCTCACTCATGTGCCTAGGATGGAGCAGAAATCTTGATGCTAGACAGCCTGCAGGCAGAGGGTGGGAAGACTGGTTCTCCTCCTGAGCAGGTTCTACCAAGCAAGACTCCATTTGTCTCATAGAAAATTCATTCATGTTTATAGATATATAGGTTATTGGCTATGCAAGACCCTTCTGAGAGACCTTGAGTCTTAACATCGTATGTAGCCAAAGTTTGGGAGTTTTGCTAACCTCACCTTGCATCAAGCGCAACAGACTGGGTTTTGGGAAGATGGGTTTCTCAGATCAGAAGTTTAGCAGAGCAAACAAGACTCATTTTGCCTGTACTACCTCTAAAATGCTATTTATTTAGGTGCTCTGACTGGAGCAGGGGATAAGTACTGCCAGGGACTGATTCATGCTTTCAAAAGACCAGTGCCCAAGATGAATGGGGTGAATTACACTGTGGAGGTGCCCATCTCTTTTATGGCTATGGAGAATGCTAGACCCCTCATGTTTAGCTTGTGAAGGGTGAGGTAGGTGATTCCCATCCTGTAGCTCTTAGAGTCTTTTTTTTGGCAGAACTTCTCCCGCTTCAGTGGGTGTAAATTACAACATGTTTCTGTAGCACTTGCTAATTGTTCACAGTTTCACTGTGTCTATACACTCTGGGTCAGATGGGAGCTTTGGTACTGACTGGTGGGATGTAGCCTTCTCTGTTTAAAAGGAAATAAAAGCCTTTTTTAACTTCTCCCCCATACTCCAAGCCAGATATGAGCATGGCTTTGATAATGCCTTGATACCTCCTTGGCCTGCGCTCTATACGAAAAATCCCTCCTCACACCTATCCCTTAGTATCTGATCTCTATCTTCTCCTCCAGGATGAAGGATGGCTGATGGGCGTGAAGGAGTCTGACTGGATCCAGCATAAGGAACTTGACCAATGCCGAGGGGTTTTCCCTGAGAATTTCACAGAACGGGTGCAGTGAAAGCGCAAGGCCACCAGCTGTATTTCTGCTGGAAGAAAGCAAGTTTTCTGGTAGATAATTGAAAAAGAACAACGAAAGGAAAAGAAGAGAGAATTTTTAAAGGAACAGAAGCCTGAAAAAGTCAGCTTAAAGGGTGTGTTCTTCTCAAAGGGCAAGGTTTCAGAAGTAAATTGAAATTCAAAGTGTTATCAAAATATATACGTATTATTAAGAATAAGGCAAGTCAGATACCCTTTTCCCCCTTGGTTTTAAACAGCATTTGGATTCAGAGGACTGATGCAGAAGCAACTCAGCGTGGTTCTCTAAATATTGCATTGGAGAGATGTCAGTCTGATCGCTGGAAAGGCAGTATTTGTCTAATGGCTTGAGAGCAGGAGTTGCATTTGCTCTTGGGTGGGTTCATCTGTTTCGTCTTGAAGGTGGTTTGCATGGCAACCATAAAAATTCAGCCTTCCCTACATGTTCAACCTACAGTAGGCCAAACTTTCTGTTATGCTGTTTAAAAAAAAATTAGTGTAAAGAATTCACCAATACAATGTGTGTGTGTGTGTGCATTTCATTTTCTTCCTTTAAAACAATGTTGAACAAACTGTGATTTTGTACATGTAAAGATAGAAGGAACTACATGGAAAGGGCATGGAGAAGGTGAAGTATGTGAAGCTGTGCTCAGTCCAGTCCAAATGCAGACACATAAATTCTCACACTAGTGTTGGCCTGTGAAATCCTAAGGGAAATGAACAAATTCCAGAGGAGAAACAAGACAAAACAAGCAGATGCCATTGGGATATCTCTGAAATTCAGGAGAGGGAATCTTCTGCCCTCCACCAAACCCCACAGGTGGTTTCAGAGAAGCTTAGAATCATGTAGATGGAATATATCTCTAAAATCTACTGGTTAGAAAATTTGCTTTTAAAGAAAGAGAGAAGGGAAGAATTTTTTTTTTCTGAAAGAATATCTAAGAAAAAACACAGGAAAAAACAACTTGCTTTCTGTGTTATTCATTGGCATTGTTTTTTGTGGAATTGTATTTCTTATTTTCCTCTGAAGCGTTCTGTAAGTGAAATATTGTTAGATCAGCTTTCTCCAGTGCTGTGCTGATGATCAAATTAACCTCTATGAAAACTGGACTCTTGAAATGCTCATTTAAAACGGCTGCGTGACTTTGTGCTATTTTAATACATTAGAAAGGAAGGCAAGAATATTGAAGTGTCAGTGTCAAGAAGACACTCTGCAGTCTAATATTGATGCTGAGTCCTTTCCTGTACCTTTCCTTTGCTTCTGTTTGTTTTTGAGTTTTGTTTTTCTTTTAGTTTAGACAAGCAGATGACAAGGTTGTTTCAAAGTGCATATTAGACTTGTTAAAATAAGCCGGTCTGACCCTCCAAGACTCTAAAAAGCCACAAAGGTACTTTAAACTTTACTTGAATACTGATGCAACTGGCAAGCAAGTCAGGCTTTTACAATTTTTTACGGCTTCCCCTTGTCCCCCATGATTGTTTTACCCTGAAGGGATTTTTAACAGTGAGGTTACCTCCTGCTGGAAAGGGACAGGATCACTCTCTGAAATAATCTTCTGAACTGTTAGAAGTTGGCTTTTGTCAAAGCTGCTCAATATGCTGACAAAGACTACTGAAAATCCCACCTTTTCCAATCTGTTTGGATTATTTGTAGAAGAACAGGAAAAAAAACCCATTGTAGGGCAAAAATTTGGTTTAAAAAACAAAACTTAGTTGAGATGGAGAGATCTGATGTGGATTAGAAAATATATTCTTGTAAATGCAAAAATTGTTGGAGTTCCTCCTGCTTTCTTCTTGGGAGATGATCCATGTTAGTTATTTACAGCAATGTAACAGGCATCAAATCTGCTCTATACACTCAAATCCTTTTTTTGTAAAAAATAAATATGCAGGAGTTTACTTTGCATCACTGTTAGAAAACTCAATAGTATTGAGGAGTAACTGCTCACAATGCAGAAGGACTGGACTCCACAAGTTATCATATGGTGAGCTGTTGTTTTAGAATACTGCCCTGTTTGATATTTTTTCTTTTTCATCAGGGTTGTCTTTATTATTACTCCTTTTTTTTCTTTCAAAATATCTATTTTTATGCATTTTGACTCCCATTACTCCTTTAAAGATTATTCATATA